GAAGGAGGTCAGAGATACCATCAGCAGTACCAGGAGACCCACCACCATGTAGAGCAAGGCCTCGTGCCTGCACCAGCTGAGAGAGGCTGGGGAAGAAGGTGACATCAGAGGACCAACAGAAGCTGAGACCTGTTGGCTTAGAAAATGGTATTTAAAGATTTGTTTTTTGGGAAATGGCTTATTAGTATATGCATATTCATTAGAATGGCTCAGGATGGGCAGCAGGAGTTAATTGATTTCTAAAAAGGCTGGGTCTCACATAAAGTGTTTCACACAGCCTTCAAAGCAGACACGCTGTCTAACAGAACAAGGCCAATGGATATACACACAGTCTGAGAAACTGGGGGCATGTACAGTATTGTTCCATAACATGAGATAAGGTGGCAACAGCTAACAAGGCCCCAGAGCAGAGGGGCCTGAGTCCTGGTTTTGGGAGAGCAGACCAAATTAGAAGGCCCAGAAAGACCAAATTAGTATGTGTGCATGTGATGAGCTACATGGAAATATGACAAACACAGAGGGACCAGCCAGTGACAGCCATGAATGAAGAGTCATCAGGAGTCATCAGGAGGGAAGGAGAATACAAAAGCAGAGACTTGAGAGTAACAAAGCCTCCCTTCTCCTTGTCCTTCCACCGCCCTGGTCTCTCCTACCTGTCCTTCCTCCTTCTCATCCCTGAGAGGGGCCCCCATCCCCAAGGCAGGGTCCCCGAGGCCACCATGGACAGAGGACACACCAAAACTCAGCTGAGCAAATGAGGGGGGTGAAACCAGAGCAATCTATTTCCACGGAAGCTTTTGCTGGTGTAAGATTGTAAGCAAGTGAACTAGTTCTGAAGGATTTATACACAATGAAGACTATAGAGGATGGAGATGGGCTTTTCTCTGTGGTGCAGAGGACAGGACTAGATGCAGCAGCTCAAGCTGCATCAGGGAACACGGAGGTTAGAGATAAGGAAGAACTTTCTGACTCTGGGGGTGGTCGAGCATTGAACAGGCACCTAGAAACCCTGTAGAGTCTCCATCCTTGGAAGTGCTTAAGAGCAGTTTGGACGGACCCTTGTCCTGGACAGTTCAATCAGGGCTGATCCTGCCTGGAGCAGGAGCTGGACTAGCTGTGACCCTGTGAGGTCTTTGGGCATAGTGAATTGCTAAGACAGCATTCAGTAAGGGCTGCAAATTATTGATTTGGCTTCTGCAAAGATGTGCCTTGCTATTGTTACTTGTGGTTCAGTATGTGTGAAAGCTAATGGGCGCAAGTAGATCCCTTCCAGATAAGCAAGCTTGAGAAAACACCATCACAGGAAAAACAGAGCAGACCGCTAAGTGTGTCACTAGCCAATCATATAGACCTACAGCAGTGCAATGCGCACATTGAGACTGACCACAAAGGCAGGTCTGGCACAGGTGTGACCGTTAGCCTGGGGCAGAGTGGGTTATGAATTTGGTGCGTGGGAGGGGGAATGCAGTGGTTGTTTCTTCTTTCAAGCTTAATATAGCAATTAAAATGCACAAATAAAGTCACTACCGCTGCTTTCTGGCTCTGAGGCCAGATCACAACATTGGCGAGAGGCTGTAGCTCAAGCTGACGTCCATGCAACTATAATGCTTCCTACCAGCCACCGCCTGCTGCTGATGAAGTTCAATTGTTTTGTATCAGCAAAGATCTATCCTACAGCTGAAGTACAACTGGGAAAAATAAATTACCTTTCATTTTATTTCAGTTAACAAAGGAAATATAAGCAGAAGCATCGCAGCCCTTGATTGCTTTGCTGTAAGTCTCTGAAATAAGAGAGACTTTCAACTTTTAATTTAATTAAAGAAACTGAATGGGAGTGATAGGGCTACCAGAGATGACAGCTGCAAGGTGCCTGAAAAAAGAGTCTATACAGCCAGAGATAGCACAGGCCTTAGCACATGGGTCTGAAATACTTCTGTATTATGGTTATATCCTTAGCAAATTTATCCTGTCCAGACAAACACCTGGGGCAGGATGGCAATAGACCTTTCCCTAACTATATAACTGAGAAAGTCATTATTAAAATGACCCCTTTTATTTCATTTAAAAGCCTGGAAAAGAAGTCACTCCCTAAAACCACTGACTGGTTTCCAAACATTTGGGAAGTTTTAGCAATGGGAAAGTTGTGCTATCAAGTCCATGTTCTACGGGGGAGCAGGAAAAAGACGCTCACGTGGAAACCTGGTGGTAAAGTTTAGAATCTGCTAAAAGAAAAATCTTCTCTTGCCTCCAAACCCAAGGCTGCAGAAATGTTTTTGAATATTGAAGGAAAATATCAATTCTGTAATCTAATGCTTAAGAACAGATTTGCGATAAATTTCAGAAGATTTAAAAGCACAAGACAATGAGATTTTTATTATGCAGAGCTCTAGGGAAGAAGCAGGGGAGTGAATTATTATATTGAGATAAAGAAACACAGAAACTTAACACCAGAAACAAGGACCCATCAAAGACTGGAAGGAAGAGAAGAAAAGAACAGAAGACTCCCGGGGACATTGATGTGAGCTCAGGGAACCTTGCTGGTGGACAATAAGTATGTTTTTATGTGTATTTTAGGGGATTGGATCTGTCTTTAAAAGTTCAAGCTGGTTTTTGGTAAATTCAGATTCATGAATACAGTGTTAAAGACCCCTTTCACCACCCTCCCCACCTAGATCAGGGGTCTCAGCACTGCCGCTCCAGATGCTGCCTCCAAGCGTGTCCCTCTCTGCTCTTTCCACTCTCACAGGAGGAGATGCATGCGGCTGCACACTGTGATGTGCAAGATCCTGGGACTGCACTGCTCATGTCACCAGATTTTGTCACCTCTGGCAGCAGACAGAAATGAAACAGTTTGAGCTGGAGGTCTAACAAAGCACATTCAGCTCTCAGAGGTGTAGGAATCGCCAGCAGTATGCTCCCACACAGATCTGCTATTTCAAAGAATCACCTTCTGGCCAGCTAGCTTGTCTTCAGCCCGATGAATCAAAGGTGATGCCTCCTTTGTGTATCAAGAGTGAGCACATGTACACGCACACGGCTGCTTCTCCAGGTGAAGTGCAGTGTACCAAGTTGATGAGCAGGGCAGGAGTCCAGCTTGCCTGGAGTCGGAGCCCAGCTTGGCTGTTTCAGTGAGCCAGGTCTGAAATAGAGCAAGAGATGTGGCTGCCCCCTACATAACTTCTAGATGGGTTCAGTGTGACAGGGTCATGGGGTGAGATCCAGTGATGTGGAGGGGGGCCAAGGCCCGTGGGGACAGAGGTAGCAAAGCCCATGCAGTGGGTTCCAGGGTGCAGCTGCACTGCACTGCCTTCCAGCTGTTAGAGCCCCAGGCCAGGCACCTCACATCTGGCCTGCAGACCACAACTAAGGATTCAGGATGCAGAAGGATGATAAATAGGCTAAGATTGTTTCCCGGGCACAGAGAAGGTTTTGGTTATGCCACTTGCATTTTTAGTGTTGTGTATTTGATGAGCATTTCTCCTGCAGTCATTTAGATAGAGATCGGCTTTAAAGAGGGGCAAAGATTTCAGTTCTTGTCTTTAAGTACATGCTGAAGGCAGCGCATCAGAAGAGGGAACTGGGGAAGAGGCTGAGACTAAAGCCACTCTCCACAAAGCCAAGCAGGGCTATTCATCACACAGCTCTTGGAGTGGGGACATTCACCACACTCACCTTCATCTCTGCCCTAAAACACTCCAAGCAGCCCCCAAGAGAAAGCCTGACCTTGCACCCAAAATTGCACAGAGGAAGCCACTGAAAAATCAGATCCATGGAAGGAAAAGCAAAACAGAGAAAGCAAGTGAAAAATCTTCCAGGTGATTCCTGAGCCTCTGTCTCATGCACAGAAGTGACTGGCGCATTTATGAACCATGTCACAATCACTTGGCAAAGGGATCTGGGCTTCTAAGTCACTTGGGGGCACTGGGAAATGTTTCCCCAAATCCCTGCTGCAAATAAAGTTTTTATCCTGAGAAGGGTGAAGTGCCAGAGACCGCGTGCAGACCACTCTGCCTGTCACTGCTCCGTGGACGTGGCCTTGAAAGGAAGTCCCCTGCATCAGGTCAGCAGTGTGTGCACGGCCCCACAGGGACGGTTCCCGCTGGAAGGGAAGGAGCTGTTCCTCCTCTGTCCTGGGAGGTGCCCATGGACATGAGTGTGTCTCCAGCAGGAGCTCAGACGGAGGGAAACCACCACAGCCCTTTGTGTGCCAGGCAGAGTCCGAAGGATGTTTCATAGCAAGTCCTTGCATGTTGAGATGCTGAACACACCTGCAACCTGTGCAATTCAATTCACTGAGTCCAGTCTGGTCGATCCAATTCCCCTGCTCCATGATAGGTTGTCCAGAGCATGCCCATCATGTACATTCAATGTACCTGTAGTAAAGCAAAGACCTACTTAGACTGAAAGTTGAAAAAGGACATCTGGCCTCATGGAACAGTCTCATGATCATTATTTTTTAATGTTAAGGGCAGAAATGGAGCTGCAGTGAACTGTGTGAGATGGACAAGGCAGAGGGGAAGGAAGAACAAGGACAGTCAAAGTCATCCCTGCTCACATACCCAGACACATGGTGTACAGGCACTTACAGGGACTTGTCTCTTCAGTGGGGGCTTCAGAGCGGTGTGTGCAGGTTATATCCTCACCAGGTATATCCATAGGCCTGTATACACATCACTGATATCAGATGGAGAGGCCCTGGACTTGCTTACCTTTGAAGGAAGCATCTCAGTGAGATGAGAGGACACTGGGTTGGGATTCAGTGGGCGGCTGGTTTGCTACAGGGGGGAGCTGAAACAATTCTTCTTGCAATAAACCCCAGTCTGGTCAGATATTCTTGACCAGGGGGTGATAAGGATCAAATCTCTTGGTGTGTTAGAGGTCAGTGTCCTACCCATCAGCGCTTTCCTCTTGTAGACATGCCCCCTCCAAGTTAAGACAGGAAACAGGTCTCCTTCCCATGTGACCCAGGCTTTCAGAAAGAAAAGACCCATCGAGCAGCCTCACAGCATCCTCCCAGCGCTGAAGAAACCACACCATGTCCTGCCCCTGGGCTAGGATCCTGCTCCTCGCCCTGCAGGGTAAGTCTTTCAGCTCCTTGGTCTTTTCTCCCCACATAAGAACAATTCCCTTGTGCACAGGGATGTCCTGCTAGGACGAAAACACCCGGCTGGGCTGCACCGGAGAGACAGAGATGGGAGAGTTACACAATTTGGTCCCTGAGGGATGTAATACAATGATATTTGTGTTAAAAAGCCCCTTGGGGAACAGTGTAGACTGTGACTGCCAAAGAACAGAGCTCTTTTTAGCATCTACTTTATCTTCTTGTACTTTATAACAACTGCCTGGGATGTCACCTGTATTTGGAGAAGGTTGTTTGCAGCTGGAATCTCAAGAAGCAAAGGTAGGAAAAGCCTCAAAGAAAATGTTGAAAACAAGAGGTACTTTAATTCTTATAGTGGTGATTTCAGGTAAGCCAGAGGGAAACATCCCATATCTCTGCAGGAGCGGTAGGGTGGAAATGTAGGTGGATGCTTTCATGCCATGTGCGCAGCAAATGATCTTTGTCTGTGTCTGGTCCAAGCTGGGTGTGATGATGTTGCCCTGGATGCTGGAACGGGGACAATTTTCAGCCCAACCTGTTGGAGTTTTCATTTGTCATTTCCCTCCGGGACACAGAAATTGTACTGAAATAGAGAACTGAAAGGAGCTCCAAAGGCTTTTGGGGCTTGTATGAGGGCTGTTTCAGCAGCAGGCAAGGGGTGATGTGATACATCTTGGAGAGATTCGTGGTTGTGTTTGTTCTTGAGAAAGCAGATCCCTGCACTGGGGGAAAATGCTAAGTGCTGGGCTCAGGAAGAAAAAATCAATTTGGGTCCTCTCTGACAACTCGCAGCTGGGGAGCATTGGTGCTCCATGTACGGAGAATAAGGGTCACAATTAAATAGAGTCCCCGCTTCTTCATTTACTACTGGATATTGCTGCATTTTATTGTTCTTTATGTCTCATCCAATATCATGTTCCGTTTTACTTCTGTTCACATGAGTCGAGTAGGTCATTGTCTTGTGTGCTTTCCCCACTAGCCCCAAAATACATGGTTCATTCGATTGTGTCACTTTAGTGCAAGCTGTAAATACACCGGGATGTTGCAGAGGGGGAGCTGACTGCACTGGTTTCCCCCCATACAAACACTGCACTTTCCTCTGCAGTGGCAGCTTCCCAAGAGGGGCTGTGGCTGCAGCAAAGCCCAGCAGAGATCCGGACGACCCCGGGACAGGCTGCAGAGCTGAACTGCACTGTTCTGTTCCAACAACAGCGTGTATCCTGGTATAAAGAGCATCAGGATGGCAGTCTGCAATGGGTTGCCCACATTGGTAATTTTGTAGAACCAAAAGGAAGATACTCGAGTAAAGTGAGCAGCACGGGGAAAATGTTCTCTCTAATCATCAACCAGCTACAGGAGGAGGATTCTGGGCTCTATTATTGTGCCCTTGATGTCTCATTATACACGAGCTTTGGGAACGGGACCAGGCTGATCGTCTCCGGTGAGTTTCCAACAAGTCAGAAATTGTCAGCCCCCTTTTGGACAGCTCTACCCCAGCATCAGCTCCAGGCTGGGAGTGAGCTCAGGGATAGCAGGGGCCAGGCAGTGCCCAGGGCAGGGGGTTGGAGCATAAGACCTGGGCTCTGATTTTCACTCAATGAACCCAGGATTTCAACCATCTCAGCTCCCAGCAGCTCCCATTTGGGAGCCCAAAGACACAGCTGGGATTTTCAAACTGGACAGACCCCAGCACAGGGAGCTGGGTCCTGGACACCAGGGAGAAATCCCCCCCAGAGCTCCTGCCCCTCAGGCTCCCTCTCCAGCCCATGGAGGGTCTCATGTGAAGGCTCATGTCATGGTTCAGGATGCACCAGGCAGTTCCCCCCTCTATCCATGGTGTGGTAGGGAGCGAGCACCCCCGTGTCCCTGGCTGTGGATTCCCCCGACACCCCGTTCAGAGACCCAAAGGAAAGGGAGGGAGGGAGGGGTGCAAAAACCATGTGGGCTGGGCCCCGGAGCTGGCCCTCAGGCAGACGGGAAGAAATCCAGTGGGGAGATATCGACTGACAGCTCCTGTGCTGCGGTGCTCCTTCCCAGCTCTCACAGCAGTTGTGGAAATGGAGGCACAGAAAAGAGTGGCCAATAGCTCTCCAGGGGCATTGAGGAAGGTCATGGCTAGGGGGTTTCTCTATCTCCCCAGCTCACGTTCTTTCCACCAGACCAGGTCTCCCTCTGTGACCTGTGACCCAGGCAACCGCTGCTGGCACTGAGACAAAAACCCCTGGTAAAAATACCTGGGTCCATGTCTCGTCAGGGGTTTGGTGTTTAGACTGGGGTAGACAAAGCCCCGGGCATCTCAGCTCTCTTGCAGGGCCTGGGTAGACATGAGATGCCCTGTAGGGAATAGCCCATGTCCCTCCGGCCTCTGGTCCTGATGTTCCCGCTATTGTGCAGATGCCCCCCAGCCCAGCGTTACCATCCTGGTGCCTTCCCCACCAGAGGAGGCTGAAAGCCCAGACCCCGTCCCCCTGCTCTGCCTGCTGTCCCCGCATGCTCGGGGTTGGGGGGCAGCCGTCTGGGACCTCGGGGAGGGGTTTTCAGGGCAAACAGACACAGGAGCCCTGGATGGAGAAGGCACATGGAGCCTGACGACAGTCCCCAGAGAGAGGTGGGACACGGGGACGTGCTGTACCTGCATCACCAGAGAGGAGGGAACCAAGAGAAACATCAGCTGTCCGGTGGCCAAGGGCATGGGCACTGCATCAGAGGGTAGGTGAGGCCTGTCCCTGGGCATCACCCCCACTGCTCACAACAGCCTCTGGAAATGGGCTCCTTGTCCTCTTCAAGCTGCAGGCTCTAAGCCAGGGGCCGGCAATTATTTTGGGTGGAGGGCAACTTACTGAGTTTTGGCAAGCTGTCAAGGGCCGCATTTCCCTCTCCGGTGCAGGGAAGCAGGAACAGCCCCGCGGTCCCAGGCCAGAAGCCCCTGCTAGGGAGGGGCTTTTGTTTGAGGGATGGACAGGGTCTGGGTGGGCCTTGCTGCTGGGTCCTGCCACTGGCTTCAGCTGGGGACCAGAGCCCCTGGCTCCTGTCATCTTTGACAGGCAGCCAGGAGCAAATAAATATTAATTTTCTAAATTTTTTAGGGGCTCAGCAGGCTGGATAAAATGGCCTGGAAGGCTGGATCCAGCCCCCAGGCTGTATTTTGCCCACCCTGCTCTAAGCCTTCTTCTCAGCATCTCCTCTCCCCGCAGGGCCCTGCTGGGTTGCACGTTGGGTGGGGCTGCCCTGTGTATGCCTCCTCCTGCTGATCCAGGGCCTGATCCTGCTCTCCGCCAAGTGCCCCCCCACAGGTAAGGGCCACAACCTGCTCTAGGGTCAAGCCCCTGGCCCCATCCCTTACCTGCTAATGGCTCCTGCTCTGCTTCCTCCAGCAGGTAGAGTGGCAGCTCCAGGGAGTCACATGCACCCGCACCAGAGCCCAGAGGTAACTGCTTCTCCAGCTGTGTCACAACAATACTTAGAACTAGGGTCTGGGCTCATCTTGGCCTGGTACCTCCAGGTCAGCTGTAAGGGAACTCAGTGGAGTTGCTGCAGTAATCACTGAGTACATGCGGCAGCTGCATGTCCGTGGGAGGACATGGCACCATGTGTGGGGTATTGCAAAAGGAAACCCAGGCCAGGGCATTTCTGACTCTGAAAGAAGTCCCAGGAAGCAGGGGAATGGATGGGGTCGTGTGATCTGATGGGACACATCAACCTGAGCAGTCAGGGCAGGACACCTGAGTCCCCTTTCTGGCTCTGGGTATGAGCAGCTGAGAGACTGTGCCCAAGTCCTGGCCCCTCTCTGGGCCTCAGTTTCTCTTTCCACTTGTGGTGTCTTGACTTATCAAGGCAATCCCTTATCCAGTGCTCATACATCACCAAGCACTGTGGTGCGCTGACCTCAGCTGGGGTCTCTGGGCTGTGCTACCCACAACTGATGCGAGATCTCTCCTCTTGTGTGTTGCAGACAGAATATGCAGCTGTGAGCCATGGCGGCAGAAAAGCTCCAGCATGACTGATGCGTTCACATGTTCATCCTTAAAATAAAAGGTGTGGGGACACGCATGTGCAAGAGGAAGAGACATGTGATGCCAAGCAGCTGTCCAGTGTGTGAGCATGTGAAGGGAGGAGGGTGAGAGGGAGGCTGGCCATCAGACACAGGAGATCACATCTCAGACCATGAGTTTCAGTGGCAAGAACCAAAAATTATCAAGAGGGAAACAGTACAGGGGACAGAGACATGTTTTTTATTAGGCAACAAGTAACAGGCAGCTTTTGGGCAGGAAGTCAGCCCCACACTGGCTGCCAGTGAGGCCTAGCAGGGAGCAAGCATGCCCTATGTGGGCTCCTGCCATCCTGCCCCCCTGTCCCAGGTCCCCCAGGCCTGGGCCCTGCACACACAGGCGCTGCAATGTCTCCCCACAGACAGCATTTGGCAGGCCAGTAGGGGGTACTCCTACGCTGAGATGTCCACCACACTGTGCCCGACCAAAACCCATGATCCAAATGTCTCCCCTGGGGTGCCTGTGTCCAGCCAGCCCCCCTCCTGGAGCCCAGTCACAAGCCTGGGGTAACCGCTGCCACCACCCAGACTCGGGTCTTTGTTAGAGCTCTGCGCTGCCCGGAGTTCACAGACCCTATAGACCTTGGGAGTCACTTAATCCACTGTGGGATTTTCAGGTGCTTCTATTAGCCTGAAGCTTTCACAAGCAGCCTCCAGTACAGGAGGAAAGTAAAAAGGCCAGCCTGCCTTAGCCAGCCTAGCAACGTGAGCTAACAAGGCTGGTCCCTTCCCTCTTAAACACACACAGCAAGGCATGCTAAAACACATAGGTTTATCGATCAAAGAGAGATAGGGTAAGGAAGGGATACAAAACAGCAGCATATAGAAAGAAAACCAATGTTGAGCCAAACCGTACAGGCTGGTTAACCTTTTCATATGCAACTAGAGCACTTCCATCCGAGTTGCTGACTAGATTTCAGGTAAGTCACTTACACCTACCTCAAGATAACTCGGGAGGGCCATAACTTGATTCAGCGACCAGAAGATGTCTCTCACCACTAAATTAGTGCCCCCTTTTAAAGCCTTTGTGACTTCATTGTTAAGTTCCAGCCAAAACCCAGTATCCTCAGAGCTCGGCTGATGCCAGCTGGTCAGTGTGAAAAACATCAGCACCCTCAGGGAGGGGCGGGTTTAGGGCTACACAGGACACCGGAAGA